TGTTTTGGCTGAGGGGGGGGGAAGCTGTGGAAACGTTGCTATAGAGGTAATTCGATCGAAGGTGGTGCACTCATGTTTCACCCCCCCAAGGAATCTTTGGATGGCGAGGAGGGGTCCCAGAAGACTTATGGTGGCCGTTTGATCGACGACCCCGGGCAGCCTGGCAGGGCGGAACCGTTTTTGTTGATTCCCCTTGACGAGAAACTGTGGGAACATCTAAGTTGGAGACCGATAGAAACAGTTTTCCAAACAGATTTCAATTAGGGGACATGCACAGAACAGTTTTCCATTTCCAAACGGTTGTCCATTCTTTTGTAAATCGACATAGACAGAGATAACATGAGTCTTGTTGCGGCCCCTAAAACAAATCTAAGGCGCATTCGCTTGTATGTGAATGGCATTGGGCCTGCCTTGGACTTCCCCCTCAGCGAGGAGGATCGCCGCAGGAAGGAAATAACAGCGCTGATCCAAGATGCAACGCAAGAGCCGCAACACCAAGATGCTTGGTTAGAAGCAGTCCAGAGTTTGTTTGAAGCCAGATTCGGTGCTGATGTGGAGCATGATGCTGAGTACACGGAGATCATGGAATGGGTAAAACATTTTTTTGGCTGTGGAGGCAGGATGTTGTCGTGGTGGCCCACAAACGGGTCTAGATGCTGCAGTGCGAGATGAGCTTGTTGCTTTCTTGAAGGAGGTCGTCCCAAATAGTGCCAGTTTGAAGCAGATTTACAAGGAAATGAAGGAAGAGTTCTTCTGATCGGATCTGATCGGCATGAGTCTAGTTCGAACAACCGAGATGCCAAGAAGCTCAAGAGATCACACGCCTTTTGCAAGGTGTTGACCCACTTGGCCTGTCCTGTGGCCATCATTTTTCCCTTGTATCACTTCTAGTACGACCAATCTCTACCACAGTTCCTGTACGTGACAAGTATCTATCTACTGTTAAATTGCGTTGCAACGGGCTTTCTAATTGTTTATGTATATATTGGAAGACAGCAGAAGAACAAAACCCATCGAATTGCAAGTAGTCCTGACTAGCATAGCCCAACCCAGCAAAGCAACATGGGCTGTTCTTAAATGACAAATCCTGACAAGCCTATGGTCGTGGATCTCATTTTCAGATGGATCAACCGCTTGTTGACTCGATTGGACTGCGTCTCTTGGGATGTGCATCTCTTGCCCGCCGGAGCCTCCGCTCTAGCTGGCCGTCCAGACCTGGAGCCGGTCCATGGAGTCGGTTCAAGAGAACCACACATCATGGTGTGAGATTTGTTCCTTATTTTCATTGACGTTCGACAAACTGATTTTGAAACACGACCGGCCTTTATAATATAAAGACACACAGCGTTGACTCAGAACCCGAGACACGCGTTTACTCAGCTGTTCTTTTGGCTCCACATGTCTGATAGTCAACACACGTTCCCTCGAGCTCTCACAGATGCGTCGAGAAAACATCCGGATGGGGGTGGAATTGACTCCTTGGAGTGGGGAGACAGCGCGACCAAGGGGGTTCAGCCGGCTTCGGCCCTCTGACTGGTGGGAATGCATTTTGCCGCTCCAGTGCTAGTGTGCACTTTAGCGCCATGCGCACATTATATATAACTATGGCTGATTGTACATGTTCTGCTTTTCATGTTTAATTGATGCACTTGCCATATGGATTGACGGCCGCTTGGGTGGAGGCTTCATGTTATAGCCACGCCTGTACGAGGGCAAAGCCAACCGATCAGACCAAGCTGTACCCATTTCGAGCTCGGATGATAAAGCTTCAAACCGCGGATGTCACCTGCCAAAGGAGTCACCTGAATGGCAAAACGCATTCAAAAAGCAAGATGTGCCCCAGATCGTCCAATCCTGCCAAGTCCCAGCTTGTCCCAAGGAATGAGCTGGTGGCGGGCAAGGAGTTGCTCACTGTTTGCTGCGTTTTCAGCTCAGCTTTGCTGGAGGCGTTTGGGATTACATGGGCGGGTGGGCAGATGTCTTGGCACAGGCCTTCCATGTTAGCTCATATGCTACTCGCTGGTCTTCGTTTTGAGTATTTGATCACATTCAATGTGAGTTGAATGATGTCCGTTCCATGGCTTCCCCTTCCAACCTCCAAAAGCGTTTCCCTCTTCAAAACCAACCTGGAAGTGGCACAAGGTCTTCTTAGAAGCGATTTTGCTGTACAATATGTCTATATTATATGATATTATATGTACTTATTATGCGTCTATATATAACATATATAAATACACGTCGATTTAGTCGTGCTATTTGATGCTTATCTCAATTGGGGTGATGCAAAATATACCAGATATAGCGTCCAAAAACACCGTTTGACTTAGTCTTTGTTGACAACAACATGTTTCTTGTCGAAGCCTTTGCAATATTTTGAAAGACTATGTTTCACCATTGTTAACATTTAGAAAGATGTGGGGGGGCCGGGGTTGCATTTTGCAGTGTCAATCGTGTCAATGCTTGGATGTCTTCCAATCACGTTTGTTTGGTTATATAGTGCCGTCTGAAAACTCATAATCAGTCAGGTGTATCTCATGGTGTTCATAGCGATGTTTACTTCGTTCGTTTCACTGTCCGTGCCGTTTGACGCCGTGCTTTTGGTCTCTCCGCCAGCCGCCAGGAGAAGGCCCGCTACTTGCACGCCGTCTTCGACGCGTCGGGGCGTGGCTTGGGCACCGGCCAAGAGGTGGTGCCTTGGATCCGCGGTGGACGCACGGTGGGCGGTGGGGTCTTCAAGTGGTTGATGGGTTGATGGGTTCATGGTAGCTGTAGCTGTGCTAGGTTTTTTTGGTGTTGTTCCACTCGAAATGGTGGGTGAATCTGCAGTCGAAATCAGGATTCACTGAAACTCGACCTCAATCCGTTTCTCCAAGTCCTATCCCAGATGATTCACCTAGAAAACTACATCCAATCTGGTACGCGGTGTAGTTCTGCATCTTCTGCTCTTTGTCTTCACTCAACCCGCCCCCACAGCAGACGTCCCATCCTTTCAGGGCACCCCACAGCATCCCCCCAAAGCAGCGGCCCCTTTTTCGCACACCCGTGGTGCGTTGACCGGCGGTCAATTGACCCACGCCACCGGACCTGAGGCGTCCATTTGTCTGATGGTCCTGCTGGTCTTGGGGAAGGTCACGGGCACCGTCGCCAAGGCCAAGGCGCGCCGGCACCGTCGGGCGGGTTGCGGTGTTTGGAAGCGGGGTCGGCGGTGTTTGGTGGTGTGGGTTGGGCGGATGTAGCTCGTTTGGGTCGGGGGGGGTTAGAAGTCGTGAGGCACTGAGGAAGATGGCTGGAGTCACAGAAATGGTGTGTTTTGTTGTTTAATGTGTTTGTCTTTTTCAGAAATGGAGTCCCAAAAGTTGAATTTGGAATTTGGAAGGAAACTAAAAGTCTATGTCAAGCCTTCTTCGGAAGCGTCTTCCTCCTCGCGTGCCTTTATTGGGCCCGGCCCAGGAGGTGACCCCACAGCTTCAGCTGGAACTGGAGACCTTGCTACCTCCCTATGCTCCTGGAGAAACGTCTTGGGATGGGTGGACGCCTTGTGTGGCTGTGGGTCATGGCACCAGGATACTGCGGTTGACCTACTGGTGTCGGTCTTTCGCTAGATGATGAACCAGAGCTTTGCTCCGCGTCTTGACCCATCCCCATGTTGCTTTTGATATTTGTTTGACGTTGTTCAATAAAGGATTGCAACCCCGTGAGATGATTCCATCGAGGATCCGTAGGCCTCAAACGCGTACATGTTACAGTAATTTATACCCTACCAGTCCAGGACCAAGTTTATCCTGGTCCTTGATCTCATTGAGTATTGTTTTTGCATGACTGGACCCAGTAGAATGAGGTCCTTGACCTTTAGTATACACCTTACCTGCAGGTAGCCTCACGCCTTGACGCCCAGTTTAAGTTTCTTAAGTTTCCTCAGTCTTCCCACTGAGACCTCAATACCATGTGGGTGTGTCTTTGAATAGGGACCCCCAAACAAGGGCTTTGGTCTATGTTTCCCTCTTCCAGGGGCCGAACTGGGAAGTCTCCGCCTATCTTTATACACATGTATAGGACCTGGAGACACTCAGAGTCCTCAAAGACATTGTCAACATTGAGAAGGGGTGCAACCCGTGCTTCCTTTTCATCTCCAGATGATCATGAATATTCATAGATCATATGGTTCAAAAGATTCAGGTTTCTTTTTTTTGAGCACATGGCCAAAGAGTTTTCTCTGACAAGCAGTTCTGTTACTGTGGGGCGTTTCCTTTCTCGCACGGTGTTCCTTCGATCGCTCGCTCCCACGTCCTGCGTTGCGCATGTGTTTGGTCCAAGGCTGAAGCTGTTCAGCAAGTGGGAAGCAAAGAAGCCTTTCAGACGCCTGGTACTAGTTGGTCAAAGTTTATTCGTGTGCCATGACGACATTTGGTGTTGATTCGAATATCGAATACATGTTAACATTGTGAAATGTTTGGGACTCTTTGGGCTGTTGACTGTTTGTACCCTCAAGAGCAAGCCAGCCACCCTGCAGATGCTCCCCGTACCGAGGGGGGGGAAACATGTCCACCCTCCATGAGTCGCTAGTGGCCGAAAAAGTGAGAATTTGGAGCTCAGAAATTCAAGGAGATACAGAATTGGATGAGGACATGCTGAGCAGAAGTGAGAATTTCTTTTGAAGATGAATCTGAGGAAGGTGCATATTGACATATATGTTGCCTATTGTTGCCTATGCTTGATGTTTATTTGTGTTGGATTTGTCCGGATCAAACATGTGACCGGCCCGCCCGCACTGGATCATTTGGGGGCTTCCTCAAGTGCACTCACCATGAACTGTCCTACTCCGTCATGATGGGCTCCATGGATCAATTAAAGCATGCACACACAGCGCCACCATGGACGCTGTCTTCACCATTGATCCTTTCCTGTTGCCTTGGACACTCCCGCTGAAATCAATCCATCCATGCACGTCTTCAGTGACAGCTCAACGAACTCCACGAAAACTCCGAGTGCCACGACTCCACATGACTCCACGACTCCAACTCCGCAGGAAGGAGCGCGTCATCGGCCAATTGGAGATCGACCGGATCCTCACCCCTTCCATTCGCTCCTCGACCAAATGGCTGGTGGTTGGTCTCCCCAGAGTGGTCCGGACGGCAGTGGCAGTGGTTGAAGGACAAAGGCCAGGCAACTGCTGCCTTTTTGACAGAGGTGGGAGGCTTTTCAGGAGATCAATTTGAGTCACCTGGAACATAGTCCCCTCAACAAACTCAACCTTGTCCATCTCCAGATATCTCCAGCACCCAAGTCCTTTTCATTCCAACTGGACACCTCTCCACTTCTGAGGTGATGCCTATGAATCTTTGCCGCTCCACACCGACCCCTTGGGCGAGACCGAGCCGCCCCCTCCCGCCGGCTGGGCCGGCCGCGCGTCCGTGGCGCCGGCGGGCGCCGCCGACGGCGGCGGACCGCGCGCGGGCGACGGCCTGCAGCGGAAGCAGACGGATTCGCTGGCGCCGGGCGCCGAGCCGTCGGAACGGCACCTGGCGTGGTTCCAGCGGATGGACACACAGAGCATGGGTTCTGAGCTGCCTGGTTATAGAGCACACAAACAAGGGTGAGGGATGTGAAGGCTGTGAAGGTTTTGTCGTGGTAAAATGATGAAAATGATGGGATTTTGCAGGTGGAAGTGAGGTTAATAAATTGGCTAGACATTTTGTGACAGAAGTTGATGGAGAAGGAAAGATATATATATATGATCTTATGCCCCCATGATTAATCACAGAGCAGGTCATGTTTTCACCGTAGCATTGGGGCTTAAGAGGCAGAGTGTTGGATGGGAGGGGAGGCGCCCCCTCCCCTCCCAGTGTGTGACAGGTGCCACCACTTCCTTGTTCGTGAGGAGGGGGTGAGCACCTGTGGGCCTTGCCGTAAGGCGTACCAGCTCTCGGTGTCAGTGCGGAACGTGATCCCGGCTGACAAGGACGAGAGCGCGGTGGTGTTTTTCTCAGGCTGTTTCAGCCTCCTCGAAGACTGGCTCGCTGAGATTCGAGGGTTGAACGAGCGAGACCGAAAGCACCGCCGAGAAGAGAAGCCCCAGACCAAGCCCGACAAGAGAGAAGAGGATCCCAAAAAGCCTGACAGCCCGAAACACACCAGCCGCCCTAGCAAACCAGCTGACAGCCAAAAGACCCCTCAGAACAGCCCAGTCAGCCGTCCTTCCAGTTCGAGCAAGGGTGCAACCAAGCTTCCCTTGCCACCTCCACCTCCAGTCCCGGATACCCATCAGGGGAGCACAGACCGAGGGTTCAGCTCCCAGACCGTCCGAGTGCCAAGACCCAGCCATAGAGACCAGGATCCCCCAGCAAACAGACCCGAGAAGAGGTCAGCTACATCACCTCAGAGCAAGCGAGCCCCCCCAACCGAAGAGGTTGAGGTTGAAGTGGACCCGGAAGTCCCAGGTGGTGCGAAGAAGGAGAAAAGTCGGAGGAGGAGGAGACAACGGGAGAAAACAAGCTCATCTCCCAGCTCACGAGGCCGAGACAAGAAGAAGAGGAGGCGAAGCCATCGTGACAAGAAGGATCGAAGCCGCCGGAGACGGAGGTCAAGGTCAAACACCTCCTCAGTGACCGGTTCACGAGTCCGGGAGGCCAAGAAGAGCGGAGCAGTGAGGCTTAAGTCACCCGAGAAACCTCGCAGCCCCCATACACCACCTGGCCCCCCGCCAGCTCCTCCACCGGTGCGCCAGCCGCCAGCGAGGCCACCGCCAGTCAGGCCTCCCAAGAGGCCGTCCATCCCGCAGGGACCAGGCTGGATAGGTCGCGTGCCCTACAGCAATCACCCGCGTTGGTGGGCAGGCAAAAACAAGGGGGTGACTCGCCGGGCGAAACAAGAGCTCTTCAATCGACGAGGATAATGCCCCCAAGAGCACGACCAGCTGTCAGGGCCCCCGCTCTTCGGAAGCGGCCTGCCAGTCACGTGGCCAGTGAGGAGAAGGTCACAAGGCTTCATCTCTTCAGAGAGCTTGCCGCGGTGCAGTTGAGAGGCCTAGGCCTGGTGGAGCTTGCACAGGCGTCGTACTACGAGGGCCACATCAAGCTTGCAGGCTTCGTTGAAGGACTAGGAAAGGAAGATGACTTTCTGACTTTCCGTGCAACCGGGACGCAGACGGATCATATGACTGAGCTGCTCTCGGATCCTCAGAGACGCATTTTCCAGCTGCATGTGTGTGGGCCTAGCTGCGGACGCCGCGAGTCAGGCCCGGACATCATCCACGCGGCAGGTTATTGGGTGGTTGAAGAGGAGGAGAAGAAGCCATGGCAGACTATGTATGACGAGGGTCCGGCGAAGGTTGGAGCAGAGGATGAGATGGGGGCACTTCGAAAGTTGCACGAAGAGCGAAAGGGGGCAGACCGAAGGGAGGACAGGCCTCCCAGTGAGGAGTCAGAGAAGAAAAGCAAGGCAAAAGAGAAAAAGAAGAAGAAGAAGCAGAAAGAGAAGTTGAAGAAGCAAGAGAAGGAGCCGGGCCCCAAGAAGGGGGCAGACGTTGAGGAGGACAGTGCATTGTTGGAGCGGGGGCAGAAAGCACTGTCAGCCTTGTATGGGGGAACTTGCTTGGACCCAGATGCTGAGACCCGAAGCAGACTGCTGAAGAGAGCAAAGCGGTTTGGTGGCCGAAGCTCAAAGAAGAGGAGGAGGTCATCGAGTGAGGACACCAGCGACTCGAGCACCACGAGTGAGACGGAGGAGGATGAGTTCGGCGAAGGGTTATTTGAGGAGCGGAAGAGAGCCCTCCGTCTGACAAGACGGTATCCTGGCAGTCTGGCCGCGCAAACGGTGGCCAGCATGAAGGAATCGCTGCTCACTCAGAGCGGGAGCCTGTATGCTCAAGATCGGAAGACCCTTCCGCCGATCTTCTCGCAGTTTTACAGGTCCGAGATGCAGGCGCTTTGCTCTCCTTCGATGAGTCAGGAGCTCCTTACGCTATCTCAAGGAGCCGATCTACTCCTACGTGGGCATCCAGCACGAGCGCTTGACTTGCTGGCGCAACGCGTCAAGGCCCTCGATCAGCAGATCCGAGGCGGACACTGGACGGTTGCCAGACAGTTAGAGTTAGTCAGTGCTGACTCAGTGGGCCTTAGCAAAGGCCCCGAGGGCCAAGAGGCCGCCAAGCTGGCGCGTGAAGAGCTTCGGGATAGACTTGCCTCCCAGCGGCCATATGGGTCTGGTAGTGGATCCGGGGGCCGAGACAAAGGGGAGGGGGTCGGAAAAGGAAAGGATCGCTATACCTCCGGAGGAGAAAAAGGAAAGGGTGAGAAGGGCAAAGGAGCAAAAGGAAAAGGAAAGAAGAAGAATGAGTGACCAGAAGGAAAGAAGGAGCTCCAACGGAGGTTTGATGAGCGATCCAAAAAGTGAGGCCAAGCAAGCAAAAGGGTCAAAAAGGGTCTGGAAAGGGACGGATGAGCAGAGGACGCAGAGGGCACTAGAGCTGGAGGACAAGGGCACAGAGGCTGAGGCGAGAGAAGAGACAAGGGCTATAGAGAGGCTGTTGGAGGATTGTCGTGAAGAGGGCTTGAGGCGAAAGAAAACAAAGGATGGAGAGCAGCAGGTGGGCCCGAGGCCGCATGTGGAGTTGGGAAGGGAGCCGCAGGGCTCCCAGACCAAGGACGAGAGGAGTGTGGCGTTGTGGGAGTCGCGAGGGCGTGACATTGTTGTGAGGAGAGAGGATGATGCTGCATTGGGCCCGCCTGGTGACGTTGATTTTTTGGAAGGGGAGCAGGACTCCCAGAGCGCTGGGGTTGGATCAGAGAAACAGCAGGGCGGTTTGGGAGACACTGCTTCACAGACCTATACCTCCCCACTGAAAAGTGGGTCGAGAAGGATGGTGCTGGAAGCAAGCAATCGGCAAGCCTTTGAACAGTGCCGGTACAACCTTGCCACGGCATGTCGAAAAAAGGGGTTGAGATTTGAGGAGATTGGGGAGCCGCTTCTAGAGGCGTTGAAGGTGCAGGAGAAGGCATATGCGCGTTGCAGCGAGACCAAAGGGGACTTGTTCCCCTTGCCCCTTCCATCGTCCCTGAAGCCCGACACTCCCCCGGGTTTTTGTACAGATGCATTGGTGCAAGCATTGAATTCATTGTATGGGACAAAGACTTTGACGAGAGTGAGAGAGGACAAGGTTCGGTTGACCATGGTTGAGAGATTGGAGAAGGTGGTAGGGGAGTCTGAACTAGAAAAGTGTGAACTCCCAGACCTTGACTTCGGGGAGTTCTTCAAAGCCAGGTCGGTAGACTACTCCGGTGAGATAGTTCAGGTCGCACGTCGTTTCGATTGGCGGATGGTGGAAGCCGCTTTCCCAGAGGCCGTACTTGGTGAGTAGATTGAACTTAAGTCCCACTGAGGTACTTTAAGTAGGTTATAGGAACTTATAACATAAGTTCGATATAACTAAAAATAAGTAAAATTAAGTAAAACCTACTTAAAAAATAAGTAGAAATAAGTAGAAATAAGTAAAAATAAGTAGAAATAAGTAAAATTGATACAACACTGAAATGAGACACTTACGTTACACATTCGATTTACTTTTCCAACATGAACAGTAAATATCACATGACAAATGAAATACAAGCGTCCCAAAGGCCGCTCGCTTGACAACTGACAACCCAACCTTTTCACTTATTCTTTGCTTGAAGCTCAAGGACCTTTTTGGTCCGTTTTCTTTGAAATTCCTTTTTCTTTTGGCACCACTCATCAGAGTCTGGTACATAGCAATTCCTTTCATGCCACTCCTGACGAAGCCCCCCTCTTTTCCTGGCTCTTCCTGTCTTGAGTAGTGTGCGCTGCCTTTGTGACAGCAAGGAATCATCAGGCAGCTCATTTTTCTCCTCTGTTTCCTTTGGCGCTTTGTCAATCACCTCTTTCTTCTCATCCTCTGTCTTCTCTGGCGCTTTCTCGATCACCTCTGTCTTCTCATTCTTTGGGGGTACACTTGAAGATGAGGCAGAGGATGACATTGGTGTAGGTTCGTAGTCCGGAGCAAGTGAAGCCCTCAACGCCATAGCAATTTGGTCGCAAAGTGGCACGATGCCGCCCAAATCCATAGTAACTGCCCCCTTTGGTTCACCACCTTGACAAACTGCTTCATTTGGTGGTGTAATTGGCGAAACCGGCGAGGGTGGATCCATCATTGCCCACAACTATAATAGCCTAGTGGAAGTATGTGCATTCTGCATTAGACAAAGCAAATGCTTATGCATGTAGATCTATATATATATATATATATTTAGACAAAACTCAAAACAGATCAAAACGGTTTGTTTGGTTTGAGCGGCCAATTGGACGCTTGTTTAAAGTGAACAACATGTTTTTTGGTTGGGCTAGTTCTTACGCACGCTTACATATATATATATATACACACATATTTGTTTGTTTTTTCCATAGTTCTTGTGACTTGAACCAGCTGTAGGAATCAAAATAAAATTGATGACATCCAATGCGCTTGAAAAGTTATGTGATTAAGAAACAATACTGCCAAGGTACCACAGGTACAACACAAAATGTTTGTCGAAGCGTCCCAAAGGCCGCTCTCTCTGACTCAAGAAAGTGACAAGCGTCCCTGAGGCCGCTCTCTGACGGAAGAAAGTGTCAAAGCGTCGAACCTGTTCAATGAAGATATTCAAACAAAATATCAGTATCAGATAGTGTTCAATGAATAGAATTAATGTTTAGCTATGTTCAATATCAATAGCCAATATCAATGTTCAATATCAATATCACACATCCCACTGCACATCCCACTGCACATCCCAGCCTATCTTTGGCAAGCACAGTCAGACAAAATTTGCTGTCGTCCGATCTGATCTAATCCTAAAGATGCCCCATCTACTTAGATGATGGACGCTTCAATGTTGCAGGTCGCTTCACGACCTTGGACTTGAAGGATTTGACAGGGCCAGTCTTGACTTCGAACTTGGGTCTGCTGGTAGTAGGAGTGCCCGTCCTTGAATTTCCAACTGATACCAACTTTGGCGGTGGTCTTGACTGCCATTCATCCTCCTGACACGGGATCCTCTCAAAGATATTCTGGCTCCAATATGCACGGCTGACCTCCTTGGCCATGTGCACAAACTTCACGACAGCCAAATCGACATCTTTGGCAGTCAGTTTGGCTGCGATGTCCCACCAAGTAGTACTCTCAGTGTGCACCTGCTCATCTAACAGTTCAGCTCCGCTGAGGGCGTAGCAAGAGACCCTGGAGTACTCCATCCCTTTCTCCAGACTGATGTCCACCGGCACAAAGGAGTCACAGACAAGCCGGCACATCAAGAAGTCATTGGCATGTTTGGAAACTCTTCCAAGCAAAACACCCTTGGAGTGAAAGCATTCTTGTGAATATTTGAATGCAAGGCAAGGGCCCAACGTCAAGAAAAACGACTCTTTGTGCCCCTCCGTCCACAGCCGAGTCAACCTTTCACACCCAGAAGGTCCAAGCTTTCTCCAGGTGTCCAACGACTCATTCAACATCTGGGGGTAAAGGCTGCTGTCGTTGGTTGCCTGCTTGTAGCGCCACTTCAGCAACATTGCGGAAAACACAGACAGCTGGGCTCACAGAGACGGTCAAAGCTGAGCCAAGCAAGACTGTTTCATCATGTTTCATCAATCAAAATCCAACAACCATATATCAAACAAAGCGTCCCTCAGGCCGCTCTCTTTGAACAAGACGTGGTTAATCTATCAGTATTGTGGTGAACAGGCGCACAGAACTCCAAGGATTTCTTTCGACGTGAATACTGAATACAGCTGTGAATTTGCAGCATGAATTTCTAAAACATTCGACCACTCATCAATGAAGTGGCTTCAATTTGAATTTCGAATTCTGAAACATAATCCCACTCACCAATGAAGTGCCACTCACCAATGAAGTGGATTAGACTTGAATTTGCATCTCAAATGTCTAAAAATCATCCCACTCACCAATGAAGTGGCCTCGATCGCGGAGTGCTTCGGCAATAGTCCGCGCTAGTGCATGGGCGCTCTGCTGGGTGCTATGCTCCATGAGGTAGAAGTACCTCTTCCTGAGAGAACCAATGGGGATGCACCTCAAAAGCATTTCCTGCGTCTTGATGACGTCCATGTCGAATTGCACACTCCTGCGGAAACCTTTCGGTCCGTATCGAGGTACATGGCGCTCAACACTCTTCATAAAGATCTAAGATATATCAAAAGCTCTGGCCACTGTTTGGTGCTGGAACCAAAAATGCTTCAAATCAAATCACCACTCTGAATTCCACAGCACAAGGCAAATCAGCAACACAAAGAACATTAGCAATACATTCAGCAATGTCTTTTTCTGGAACGAACCCCGTGTCCAAAGACATTTCTGGCATCCAAGCGACCAGTTGTTAGGACAACTGACAACTAATTTATTTCAACGACCTAAAGACGCGCTGACACTGGAAGCTTCAAACCTTGACCTTCTGGATCAAGGCCAGCACCCGATCAGCCTTGGAAAGTCTTGCCTTCCAATCTCTGGAGGCTGTGCCCAAATCTTTTGGGCTAAAGGAGAGAGATTCCAGCTCCTCTTTGTCAGTGAGCTGCTTGAAGCCTTTCTCGGTGCACTCATCCACAAGACCTTTCATGCATTGCTGCAAGTCATAGAGGTCTTCAAGGATCTTCGCTGGGAGAATATCCTTGTTGGCCAAGACGGTGTTCATCTTTTCAGAAATGGGCTTCAAAGTCTCCAGCGATTTCTTGGCAAGCTTCTGAATGGAAGTGTTTTTCTTTTGCCTCGCAGCCGCTTCCTTTCTGGCTTTCTTCGGGTCTGGCTCATCCTCAGCAATGGGCACTGGGGGTTTGGCGACCTTCCCCGGACTCCCTTCCATCCATTCCAGTGCAAGGTCTTCAGCATCAGGCTCGTTCGTGAGCTGCAACGACACATCAGTGGTCTCCAAAGCGCGCTTCTGGCTGCCACTACCACGGCTACCGCGAGTAGCCTGGGCCTTGGCTTCGAATGAGCTGATCATGGCCTCAATCTGCTCCTTGATGATTTGTCTGTCCATGGTTTTTAGCGTAACCGAGTAGCATTCACCAAGAATTGGGTGCTCCTCCTTCTTTCCCAGCTTGACCTTCTCAGGATCAAATCCCCTTGCTTCCCACACTGACAAGGGAAGCGATTCGTTGGAGAACTTGCAGCTGTTTACCTCTGTATGGCGCTCTTCAAGTGTCATCGACAAAGCACCCCTGAGGTTGTGATACTGCAACTTTCCATTCTCTTGGATCATTTGGCCGCACTTCCTCCAGAAGGAGATCTGTGAGTCCTCAGACAATTCAGGGAAAGATGGAAGCGGCCACTTGGAAAGGTTTCTTGAGAGCATAGTCGTTGCCGCATTGCACCCACGGCAAATGACATTGCTCTTGGGCTCGGACTTGACCTTGTGAACACACATGGTCACATCGACTGGCATTTTGCATTTTCGACATATGGGCAAGTTGCCCTGAGAGTCCAACTCTTGCCAAACAGGATTAGGTACAGCAGGATCTCTGGAAACGAAATCGAGTTGATTCCGTGTTGCATCTTTGTCCTCCGCCTCAGCAATCTTCACATCGCCTGCTGAATCCATCCATGTTTGCAAAGATTCTTGAGCTCTTTGGGCTGCTGCTTCATCTACAGCACTCGTGGCGTCAGCACCGTTTGATGGCACAGATTGGACTTCGGTCTCGGCCATATTACACTACGGCTGCGATGCAGAGGTGTTGGCTTCTCTGCCTATTGGAGAAAAATGCTGCGAATAATTCTGATCAAAATATAATCATATATATCAATAGACTTGTCTGATCAAGTGAATTGTAGCAATGTAACTAAATTTGAAGTCAATCTCACTGAGTTGCACAAATGTCCCAACGATCACTCTCTCCCAAGTATAGTTGTCTCAAATTTCACAAGCGTCCAAACGGCCTCTCTCTCCCAAAGTTGTTTTGCAAAAAAACACAAGCGTCCAAACGGCCGCTCTCTGTTAAGTGGATATAATTGCTGTATATATTATATATGGTATATATTAAATAGAATAACAGTGATAATGTTCTTTACAAATTGAACATGAATAAGGATGTATCTGGATGTATCTGGATGTATCTGGATGTATTGGTACATATGTCGGGGATGACTGATACATCCTGATACATCCAGATACATCCTGATACATCCTGATACATTGTGATCTTGTCAAAGCATTGCCTTTGATTTTTCCGCAAATTTAGTCAACACGCAGAAACATTTGTGCAATGCAATGGATCTCCAATTACATTGAAAGGATCACCCAATGCGTTGAAACACGGCCATCTTGTAGTTCTGCTCTTCAATGTCGAAGAAATGCGCAGTGACAAAAGAACCAGAGCGGCTCACGGTCAAAACAAAG